TATATATATATATAAATCAATGTGATATAGGAATAAAATATCAAAGAATTTTACATATGTTCATCTTTCAAGGGTCTACCTCTAAACTTTTGTTGGGAAAAGCTAAACTTTTTGTAATCTCAAAATCACCAAAAATATAACTCTCAAAGTCACACAAACACTATTTAGAAGCTCATAAACTTTTAGTGAGACTTGATTCATAATCCATAAAAGTTTGAGATATTTATACAAGTTTATAAGTAATTATTACCACACATTATTCATCAACCAAACTAATCTCAACCTTTCACTCTTCACTAACCACACCTACAACAAGCACATGCATCACTTGTCTCACCTAACATTGACTTTTCACATATAAACCTTCCAACAAGTTTATTATCCAAAATAATTTTATTTCTAACACCCTCTTTTAAACTTGATTTGTAACTCCAAGAATATTGTGGAACTTGACAATTGTTTCTTGCTTCAATGACCTAATAACTATGTGCACCACTTGATCTTAAGACATCATGTCTTCAACTTTACTTCTTTTCTTGCAACACATTCTCTTATATAATATTAACGAGTGTCAATGTACTTACTTCTATTATGAAAAATAATATTTTTGTCAATACAAGTGTTGATTTGTTATCAATATGAATCTCGATGGACACCTCTTATGAAAATTATAAATCTTTCAATAAATTCATTATCCAAATTGCATGACAAATGCATGACGTAACTACAACATAGTTACCTTTACAAGTTAAGAGTGTAACAATAGGCTACTTCTTCGGTACCTAGGTGAATGCAACATCTCATGTACAGAACACCAATCCGATGGTACTCTTTCTATCATCCAGATCTCCACCCCAGTCATGATCACTACATCCAATAATTTTATATTTGTTAGAAAAAGATTAAAGTAACCAATTGTTGATTAAACCTTTAATGTATCGAAGTATTCTCTTAGCAATCTTGTAATGAGTGATCGTTGGAGCTTCCTTGTAGCAATTCATTACTCCAACTGCATAAGTAATATTTGGCCTTGTATAAGTTAAGCAGCATAGATTTTCAATGAGTCTTTTATAAAGAGTTAGATCTACTTTTTCCTCTCCATCTTTTTTGGATAATTTGACTCCACATTCCATTGGTATTCCAACAGGGTGAGAGTCGATCTTTTTAAACTTCTTAAGTACTTTTGTAGCATAGCCTTCTTGAGTTATAAAGATGTATGGATTTTCTTACCTCCCTTCAATTCCGAAATAGCAGATCATAAGCCCAATGTCGGTCAATTCAAATTTTTTAGCTATTTTTTTCTTAAATTTCTTAATTTTTGAATTATTGTATGTAAAAATCAAGTCATTTATACACACAATTAAAATATCTTTATCTTGAACTTTAATATTAAATGCATGCTCATATAGAATATAGACATTTAATAAGATTTTATCTTGAAATACTTGTAAATTCAAGTATTCCAAGCCTTTGCTGCTTGTTTTAAATCATATAAAACTTTCTTCAATTTTAGAATTTTCTCTTCTTGTCCTTTTACTTAATATCCTAAAAGTTGTTTAACATAAAGTTTTTCTTCAACAAAGTCATTTAAGAAAACAGACTTCACATTCATTTTGTGTATCTTCATCCATGTTGGTTGACAAAGAAATTATTAGTTTAATAGTTTCTAGAAGAGCAATAGGAGCAAATGCTTCATTATAATCTATGTCATATTTTTTATTATATCCTTTAGCCATCAGTCTTGCTTTGTATCTCTCTATATCTCCATTAACATTCTTCTACATTTTATACACCCATCTAACTCCAATTACCTTTTGTCCTTGCGGAAGTGTAGCAAGCTTTCACATATCATTCTTTGTGATTGCTTTAATTTCTACATCCATAGCATCTATCCATTTTTTGCTTTCCACTACCTTTTGATATCCTAAAGGTTCACATTCACCAAACAAGATAAAGAAAATAATGTCATCTTGACTATTAGGTACTTCATAAATATCTTGGAAACGTTTAAAATATGGTGTCTTATCATTTGAACATTCCCTTAAAGATGTTGTCGATGTTGATTCTACATATGTTCGTATTGAAACTAATGGAGTGACAAGCTCCTGTAATTCTTCTCTTACAACATTTTCAATTCTTGATAGCTCATTTTCTTCTTCTTCAAAATCGGGAAGATAAGTATATTCATCTCTTTGTGTTCTCTAGTCCTAATTATCTTTTTCATCAAACTCCACATCGCAACTAACGAGAGTTTTTCCATTAATTGGATTATAAAGTTTGTAAAATTTAGAGCTTGAATCACAGCCAATGAACACATACCTTCCACTTTTATCATCAAGTAATGCTCTTTTTTTTGTCTGGACTGTGAATATATGTGATACTTTCAAAGACTTTAAGATAAGAGATACTTGATCTCGTTCAACTCCATGCAGCTTAAGGGGGTTTTTCTTGCACGCTTCTTGTAGGGAAGCAATTTGTTAGGTAAATTGCACAATTAAGTGCCTTTGCCCAAAATTCTTTGGACATTCTTTTATTTTGGGCATGTTTTGAGCTATGTTGAGAATTGTTCTTTTCTTCCGCTCTGCTATTTCATTTTGGTTGGGAGATCTTAGCACTAGTACATGACGACGAATTCCATGATCTTCACAATACCTTTGAAATTCATTAGATGTGAATTCTTCTCCACGATCAGATATAATGGTCTAGATGTTAAAGCCACTTTCCTTCTTAATAAGAGCTTTAAACTTTTTAAAATTTTCAAGCACATCTGATTTCTCCTTCAAAAAATTGGCTTATATTTTTCTCAAAAAATCATCAATAAATTAAATAAAATATCTACTCTCATCAAAATACATTGATTTAATAGGGCCACAAATTTGGTGTGTAAGAGGTCAAATAGCTTAGCTGCTCTTGAAATTGACTCATTTGGAAAGCTTTTGAGAGTTTACAATCCAAGTAAACATCCTCACAGAGTTGACCTGGTTGATTGATGCAATGTAAGTCTATCCCTATCTCTTTATTTGATTGAAGTTTAAGACTACTAAAATTGAGATGTCCATATTGCAGATGCCATAGCCATGATGAATCACTATCGCAAACTTCTAAATATTTTGCGACATCACATTGAATGTCAATAAGAAACATTCTAGTTTTCAACATAAGTACTAGAGCAATCAAATTCTTTCTATGACCTCTTAAGAAAAGAAAATTTTTTGTTAAGTGAATATCATGTTCTTTCTCTAATAATTGACCCAAACTCAAAACATCATTCTTCATATTGGGCACATAGTAAATATTTGAGGTGAATTGATCACCTTCATTCTTCAAGCATATTTGAATTTTACCTTTACCTTCTACCGATATTTTCTATTCATCTTTAACGAGACATTTCCCCTCATTACTTCATAAAGTTCCACTAATATTCTTCTTTGTCCACACATGTGATTGCTTGCACTAGTGTCGAGATAACACTTATTTGCTTGGTCTTTATCTTTATTTTTGCATGCTAACAATAAAGTTCGTACTTCTTTATTGTTATCTTCTATAATGTTGGTTTTCTCTTCTATTTTTTTTTGGACATCTATATTCGGTAGTATAATGACCAAATCTTTGACAATTATAACATTTAATTTTTTCTTTGTCTTATATTTACCATAAATATCTTCTTTCACGACCTCGTGATGTTTGCTTATTTCTACTTTTACCTCTATAATTGAAATTGTTGGAATGGTTATATTCACTTCTCCCTCTTCCTTGTCCATGACCACATCCTCTTTCTATGACATTTTCAAATTGCATTGAAGAAGTTGCGTCATTGCTTCTTGTTGTTTTTCTTCCTCTTCTGTTTTTCTTCATAAGCTTGAAAATAACCCAATGATTGATCCACACTCATTGTTTATAAATCTTTAGTTTCTTTAAAAGTAGTAACAATATACTCAAAATGTGGATTAAAAGTGCGAAGAATTTTTTCCATAATTTTTTACTTAACTTGCATATTCACCATTTGTTTTTAATTGATTCACAATAGTCAACACTCAATAGAAACAATCTAAAATTATTTTAGATTTCTCTATGAATAAGAGTTCAAAATCACCTCTAAGAGTTTGAAGGTGAATCACTTTAACGTGCTCCACTCCTTTGCTACAAGTTCGTAGTTTCTCTCATCCTTTTTTTGTTATGGTTGCACTTGTGATCTTCTTGAACCAATATTCACCCACCGCTTAATCGATGATATAGAGAGCCTTTTTGTCTCTGTTGCTCGAATCTTTTAAAACTTTTCTTTGAGTTTGAGATAGAGCAATATCATCTTGCTCTCTATAACCATCTTTGATGATATCCCACATATTTTGTGCTCATAGTAGAGCCTTCAACTTGATACTCTAATTATCATAATTGGACTTGGACATAATTGGACTTACAAAGCATCGAAGCTTGGAAGAGAACCATTCCTCCACTTGTCATTATACTTTGTATCACTTTGTTGGGAAAAATAAATTTTTTTATAATCTCAAAATAACAAAAAATACGACTCTCAAACTCACACAAAAACTATTTAAAGACTGATAAAACTTTTCTTGAGACTTGATTCATAACCCATAAAAGTATCGGGTATTTATACAAGTTTGGCAGTAATTAACACCACACATTATTCAACAACAAAACTAATCTCAAACCTTCATTATTCATCCGCCACACAGATATGCATCACATCTCTCACATAACATTGGTTTTTCACCATACTAACTTTTCAAGAAGTTTAATTATTCAAAACAAGTTTATTTCTAGCATAAAATAAGTTTATTTCTAACCACCCTACAGAGGAGGTCGATCTCCTCCCCTAACGACTGTGACAGACTTACTCACGCAATTAGCATAACTTAGATTTTTTTTTTTAAAAGATAAAAACTAAGCTCTGCAACTTAAAATGACCAATAAAATTATCTTTAAAATGCATGAAAAAATATATTAAAAACTATATTAAATAATGTTATTGAAAAATAAAGATTGATATTGTTGTTGTTGCAGCATCCGAGCCTACACTGCTCAGGCGGCGAAAAGAACACGCACCGCACAGATAAAGTCGTCGCCGATAAAATTAACCGCGGAGGCAATTCTCAACGCCGCCGGCGATGAGAAAGAGCAAACAAATTTCTGGATGAGAGACCCCAAGACAGGAAATTGGATGCCACAGAACAAAATCAACACAGAGGAAGCTGATCCAGCCTTCCTCAGGGCCAAGTTCCTCCCTTCTTCCAACAAATAGAAATACATATAGATTCAGCAATTCAATTTACTTCTATTGTTCAATCTCCTCCGAGTTTTAATATATACTACTTTTTAGCATCATGTCATATATTTCCGACAGTGTACTCAAATCAGCTGGTTGGACATCTGCTTGTCAGTTGTAAGTCCCCTCTGATCTAGAGTTCAATTACTCCCGAATGCATGTGTAAACTCTATTATATATTAATAGTTTAATACATATAAGCAGAAGTTTATATTATATATCAAAACTTTCATTTTTACAGATATAACATCCAATTTCTTTCATATTTTTAACAGTGAAATTCATATTTTCATATATAAATAAGGTGTTATGTTTGTAAAAATAAAAATTTTAGTGTGAGATACGTAAATGCATAAGAGTTGAATGCTAAGTATGCAAATTTCTGTTATTTAAAACGTGGTGATTATCTACATTATAATTGAGATTAAAAACCTGTTTATAAGTCTGTGAAGAGAACTCAATTATAGATGCGAACGTTTATTAGCTTAATTTAAATTGGAAATTTAGAGTCGTAGTACTTCAAAAAAATTTCATCATCGAAGGTGACACCCAATTTTTTCAATGTTTAACTCCAAATATAAAAAAGGAGAGAGAGTTGGTGATATTGAAACACAAACTTTTAAGCTGATGAGCTGATTGAAATATGTTATTATTGTTGTTGTTATTTGTTTACAACAAAAATCTCAACACGGATTTCAAAGTATTTAGCGGCTACAATGGAGTTTTAGGCACTGAAGTCCCGTGCAAAAGATCGAGGTAGACTTGTCAAGCGGTGCAACAAAATCGATCAACTGACCCATCGATCGAGATCCCTCACCGTAGTTGATCAGGTGACTTTGATTGGTCAGCTGGACTTCCTGGCGAAAGTGATATGATAGTCGGTCGATAAAGCCGGTCGAAACCCAAACATCGATGATCGTCATACATTTTATTTCTTTTGTATAGTATTGTACTTTTCACTCGATAGACACGTCAATTCAGTTATTCGGGCGATTATAATAATTGTTTTCTCCTTTTTATGTTGTTGTATTTTGAGACCCATATATGAAGGTGGTGAGGACATAAATAAAGAAACAGAACATTGTCTCTCACCCGACTTTATATCCCTTTCTCCTCTCTACTCTAACTCTTGGGGCGTGTTTACATAAACAAAATTTAAAATCTAACATTATTATTATTATTATTATTATTATAGAAACTTTATTATTAAAGCTTTCACAATTGTTTGATTTAGACAATCAAAATTAATTAATTTGAGATTAGATCAAATTTGAGTGAAATTTAAATCAAGATATTCAAATTCAAAATTAAGAATGATGGGTTATCAACTAATTTTACCATTTGGTTTGAATCTGAAGGCATTTGACACAGATCTTACTGTATTTTTTTGAGCAAAAAATATTTTGATTCAAATTAAAAATCATCTAGTGCTTAAATTTAAGTAAATTTATAGTCAAACTGGCTGACCAGAGACTAATACAATTATATCAAAATTTATCAAATTCGAGTCAGATCAAACCCAATAAACACTTTTAGCAGGTTTTAGTTGGTTATTTGAGGGGGGGTGAATGAACTCCAAATTTAGCATTCCTATAGTTGAATCGAGCGTCTCGACGAGCAGTATCCAACAAGCCCAAGGTCATCTGATTCTGAAGTCATTGAGGTTATCAAATTATCAATAAATCTCTTATGATCAAGGGAAATTAATGTGATTTGTTCGATCGAGTCATATTCTGGTTATTCACCAAATGATGAAAATGACCCTCCTCCAAGACCTATAAATAGACAATCTTTCCGCACTTGAGGAGCAAAGAGGGGAAAGAAGAAGAAATGAATGAGCCTAATTCCAATGTTGTTCTGAACATACTATCATACCATAATTTTTTATCTCCATAACCGTCGACCACCGCCCGACGGGCTCCGTCAACCAACATTTGTTGCCCCTTGCTTTCCGTCATTGGTGGAATCTATTGAATAATGAGTGCCCTGTTCTCTGTTGGGTAATGAGCGAAGAATTATGTTGAGTAACGATGTATCCCAAATACCACGCAACGACGCACCTTCAACATGATGTATTAAAAAACTCGATAATAACTCCCGTGACAAATGCTCTCGAACGTTATATTGACCAAAATATATTGAATCTTTCTGTATACTATGTATAGACAAATATTGTATTTGTTGTACACTGTAAACTTTTCAATTTTCAAGATATTGATTTATCTTTGTACTTGTAAATTTAGCGTTGATCATTTTGATTGGACTAGATCACATGATTGTTTTTCTTGCCTGATCTTTCATATAAAAATTCATATCGTCTCATTTTAATATGTATGTGTGCTGATTTTGATATAACATTAAAATGTTAATTATTATTCTATCATTGGATTCGCCAACCTGCTCGAACGCATTATCACCAACCTATTGGTTTGAATGGACAAATATAATCACCATCAAGAGAAATGGAAGCATATGACATTGAAGGAATTCGATGAATAAATCAATTTTCAAAAGCATTTATTATTGTAACAATAACCAGGGATATTTAAAAAAAAAATTAAGCTTTACATTTATTATCCTTACAGCATGGTGGTAGCAGATGTCGTACGGGTCTGTTTTGGGCGGCTGCAATTTATTGCATAATCTGCTGATAAACTGATTAAAAATAATCTGTCGATAAGCTAGGTGTGATGACTATTACAAATTTTCTTTTTTTTGGAAAATGCTGACCGCAGCCAGAAAGCTGCCACCGCACCTATAGATAGTTGCGGTGTGAAAACACAGTTTTCAGCGTTTTTAAAATGCATAAGTTGCCAAAACACAGTTTACCCAAACAGGTCATGTGTGTTTTCAAAACGCCACAGCATGAAATAAGTTGCCAAAACGCCTACGATATAATAAAAAGAGCAGCGAAGCAATACGACTTTAAGTATTATACAATACAACTAATTAATTTTTTTTTTCCGGCTAAAAAATATCTAGTAATAACGAATAATTTTATCAGAACTTTGTCATAAATAGAATTTTAAATTTTTAAAATTTTGTTCTCTATTAAGATGAACAAAAATATATAAATAAATAAATAATAAATTTGTATTTTATGTCTGTAGTTAGTTTAAGTATTTTAAAATTGAACTTGATTAAATTTTAACTTGTTTTTTAACTGTTGAACCAATGTGCCTTATGCTCGCTACATTCAATTTATTGAGACTTTGATAATACAAAAAATTATGGGTTGGGATTTTAGTATTAATTTTAATATTTGAGTGAGAATTTGAAAAATAGGCAAAAGAGAGTGCTAGTATTATAAATAATAAAATTTTGAGTGCTACATATGCAGAGGGGCACATAATCATTATTCTCAATAGGATGCTCTATTATTTTAAAAACCTATTTAGAAAGGGTTGGTTCATAACAACCTTTAAGGAGGGAAAATTCTTCCATGCAGAAAACGCATGCAGAGATGCATACATGCATTGTCCGATCTCGACCGTCGATTGCAACAAAACTGTATTTCGGTGGGCTCCATTTTTTATTTTTTATTTTTTAAAAAAACCAAAAAGTTGTGATCGACGGCCGAGATCGGGCTGCGCATGCATCTCTGCATGCGCTGTCCGTATGCAATAATTTCTCGTGAAGGAGAGGACTTCTCATATAGTTAATGCCATAAAGAACAATCAAAATGAAAGATTTTCCTTCTTTGATGAATAGGTGCACATTAATTTCAATAAAAAAGGGATATATTTATGCTACAAAAAAGTTAGAACTGGTCATTCCGGAAAATTCAATTAAAGAAAATTCTATCAACTAAAAGTGTTATTATGTGGAATGTGATTGTGTCAAAGCAACTGTTAACTTAGAGCCTTTCATTTCACGGATCAAGCTCGGCAATGAGTTTGTCATAGGGGTACAAGGGGCAAGCATCCTTTGTATGGGTTCGACGTCGTACCCGCAATGCCTTGAAATTTTAGCGGTGGCGCTACAACATCTGTGTCACAGAGTAGCACCACAACATTGTCTTTGTAGCGCCACAATGTTATTATCAAAGAAATAAATCGCTCTAAAACGTGAGAGCATGGCACCACAACGTCATATTAGAGCGTCACAGCGCTACATCGCGGTGCCACAACACTACAACCCAATCAAGAGCAGTTGCCTTCAGGTTTTTACGGTTTTTTTTTCTTGCAGGTGAACATGGAGGATGATAAAAGAAGAATCAGAAAGTCATTTGTGACGTTTGATAGTATTTTCTGTGATTTTCGCCAGGACCTTCAAATTCTCTTGTGCAAGGAGTGTAGTATGAGTATCATTTTGTCCAACGTGTGATGTGGTTTGAGTCTACAGTAATTTTGTATATTTCACTTTATTTTTGCTTAATAGTAGATTTCTTGGTGTGTTGTGGTTCTGTTGGTTTATTCTCATTCTCAAGTTTTTCAAGTCAAATCTGATGTTTTTTTGTGTTTTCTTGCTTCGTGCGATTTTATTCAAAATTTTGCATTGAATCTCTCAGATCAGTTTCTATAATTTATTTCTCCCAATAAAAGTTCTCTTAATAAACAAAAATCATTGAGTTCAATCATAATGCTACATACAAGCACATAACACAAGCATTCATCCAGTCAAATAATAACATTGTGGTTGTTGAGCAATTGTTGAGCCTACCTTAACATAGAGGCCTGCATACACCTCAAAGACTTCAAGGTTAGTTTAATTTCCAGAGAAATAAAGCCAACTGGCTGAGGAAACAAAAGCAAACCCTTTGGACGCGGCTACGAGGGAGAGCAAATACGCGTTGGTACATGGGAAATATGAATTCGGGCACGCGCACGAGCGCAAGTCCAATCACAGGCAGAAAACATATTTCACAAAAGTGGTGTTTATGCTATTCAACAAGTGAGAGATTTAATGTGTGTATTTTTTTGTTATGCATACATAGAAAATATTCTTGCAATCTTTAAATGAGATATAGGAAAAATTATTAAATAAAGAAAAAAAAATTGAAAAGATAAATCTCAATCATCTTCATTATTGACAATGGCACACAAATAATTTGACATGAAAATTATAATAATAAATAAAAATCATATCATTTAAGTTTCACATTTTTACATACCTAACATCTATTTTATTATAATTATTTAAATCCAATCAAT